GAACGAACCTCATTACATTTATTAGAGGTCGAAAACGAACCTCATCACGTCCATGAGAGGTCGAGAACGAACCTTATTACATTTATCAGAGGTCGAAAACGAACCTCATTACGCCCATCAGAGGTCGAGAACGAACCTCATTACGTTTATTAGAGGTCGAAAACAAACCTCGTTACGTCTATTAGAGGGCTACAACGAACCTCGTGACACTCATTAGAGGTCGATAACGAACCTCGCCGCAGTTATTAAAAGTCGAAAATAAACCTGACCACGATTACTAGAAGCTGGGTACAAACCCCGACACGCTCACCCGAGGTTGAATTCGAACCCTGACATCACGAAAGACAAGCCCAAACGCCTGAAACATGCCTTCAAACAAAAAGACAACTTCGAGTCTCGGCACAACCAATTCAAGGTGAAATACCAAAACCAAACACAGGTGCAGAATAACGCTCACATGTACAAAAGTCATGATTCATACATAAACACAGATACAAAAGATTATGCACAACAAAATTGTCCTATACAGAGGCGTTGTCGCTAGAACTCTCCTCGACATCGTCCTCCCGGACTAACTGTTCGAAGCGAACAACCTTTTCCAAATGCATGTCGGAAAAGTCGAACCCTGGCGCGAGAAACCTAGCCTGCCGAGCAGCCTTGAGGAAGCCCCTCTTGTGTTCCACCACGGCGGAACGCTCAACTTCCTCAAGCCTCCTCTTCAACGCTGCATTCTCGGCCTCCAGAGCCGAAAGACTTGCACTCTGGGCGGCCACTTCCTCCTCCTTACTACTGAGGACCACCTCGTCGCGAAGACGCTCCTCGGTCACGGATACCAGCTCGCCCTTCAAGAAAGCTACCTCCTCCTTCAAGGAGCGAATCTGGCTAGCATAACCATCATTACTGCGCAGAGCGGTCCCCAACGATTGCCGGACCTCGGCAAGATCCCCCCGGGTCGCCTGGAGCTCGGCCCCCTGCATCTTCGCCTCAGACAGGGCAACAACCAAAACCTTATTCTCCTCCACCAAAGGCTGCATCCGGTCTCTCAGCTTCGCTAGATTCTACTGCCGTGACCACTTGTGCTTCCAGTAATCCACAATGGTTGTGCCCCTCTGCAGGAAGATCTGAGCGGCATCAAAAGTCCCCATAGGCCCGGCAGACTCGAGCATCGCCTGGTCGGCCGCGCTCAGTGACCCCCTCGGAAAAAATTTATCGGGTGTCGACGAAGCACTCCACAAGGAGTCAATCTCCTCCGACGCGCTCAGATGCTCCAATCGCGTCGGGGAACCCTCCTGCGCGTAGCGTACGCAAGATAGGGACATTTTGGAGGCCCCCTCGCCGCCGGTGCAGAGGCCGGGACCCCAGAGCTAGGACCCTCCCCACGAAGACCGACCGAAGTAGAAGTAGGAGCCCCGGCTCTGCCCCAGGGACATCGGCCCCCGCTGCTGTCGACCTCGGAACTCTCAGAACCTCGGTGGCCCTGCCCACCTGCAAAAGAAGTATAAAAAAAGGTATAAGTCCCGCAAAACGACGGACAACCCAGAAATAGCAAATCAAAAGGTCGCAAACACTAACGTGTAAACGAAGTACCAAACACTCACCCTCCAAATCCCTTTCCCTGTGCGCCGAACGCTCGAGCGACAGGATGAGCTTGCAGTCTAGCGGGCGAGGAAGCGCTTTCAAAGCATCAACAGCAGCCGTCTCCGACGGCATCAGCTGCGAGAAGTCCACCCCATGAAATCCAGATGGGTCATGGCACCAGTAGAAGGGAAACCTCGGCAGCCCGCCAAAGTAGAACCCCCCATCCTCCAAAGGGTCGACATCGACAAGAGTAACCCGGAAAAACTCTTGCCTATAGTTTTTATACGATTGGGAATAAGGGGTGAACAAACCCCCCTCCTTACCCCCATTCAAAGAAAGAGTCCCATACGGCGGGGCACCCGCCTTCAATTGGTAGAAAGAGAGGAAAACCCGAAGGGACACCTCCATCCCTAGAACCGTGCATAAAACCTCGAACGCCCTCAAAAAGCCCCAACTGTTGGGATGCAACTGACTGGGGGCCGCATTAACGTAGTTCAAAAAGTCGCATTCGAACTGCGTGAAAGGAAGGCAGACACCCAAGTCCCTGAAAAAACTCTGATACACATAAAAGGAAGGAGGACCAACGGACCTCTTCATATACACACCTTCACTAGCCGAACAAGGCTCCAATCGGATCATCTGAGAAATAGAAGGGTCACAAATCCTATGCGTCTCCCAGAGCGCATCAACCTCCAAACTCGAGTCAAAAACGCTTGCAAACTTGGCCATTTCGCGTTTTACCCATTCGTAGCCAGGGACACCCAACTCTAAGTCCCCGGGCGGAGGCACCTCCTTTCCCTCAGCGGCGCCCCTTCCGGTAACCACCGCCTTACCGCGTGCTTTACCCCTAGCAGGGCAGAAGAACCAGCGCCATGACTACCAGCCATCAAGAAAGACAAAGGAAACAGAGGCGGAGAACAAGCGAAGACGAAGCGTGCACAAGAAGTTGAAGGACGCAAAAAGAGTAAAATGAAAAGGAGAAGAGGCGCGAGAAAAAGCAAAACCTCTCCCCAAAATTCAAAACGGCTAGGTCACGTGTCGACCAAAGGGCATGCCTGATGGTATATTAATTGCAAACCATCATCGCGTAACCATCACTTCCTTTAGTGCGTCACTTGCACGGTTCCAGAAATGAACAGTCGCGACACATTGGCACCTCCCCAGCGTATGTGAAAAGCCACTGGCGAGCCCGGTCTCAGCTCCTTGACCTACGGTCTTTGGAGCTCGGGGGGCTAGTGTACTAACCGTACTTCGCACCCGGGCTCCGAGCCCGGATCAGCAACACAAAACAACCCCGGGAACGCGTTGCGCGACGTCAGCCCGGTATTTGAGCAAATCACACTCGAACCCGAGGATCTCGCCTCGGACCGGATCCGCCCTTCAACTATATCATATCATAACATACCTTATCTCAGGCCCAAGGCCCAAGACAAATCTAAACCACCCTAAGGTACGTGCATTATATATATGAGACTATTATTCATGCAAACCCTAACTTTGGCATCAGAGTCTCTCTTGCAGATACCTCCCCCATCTTGGAGCACCAATACATCAAGCAAAGGAGGTTCACCGATCTTACTGGACGGATCACCCCTACGACCAAATTCCGGTAAGAACATTACTAAAATGAAAAAGGTGATTTTGATTGGTTATAAATAATTTAATTATAAAAAACTCTTAAAAATATTTTTATGATAAAAATTTATTTTTATATATAGAAGTTTATATCAATTTTTAATTATAAGAAATAATAGCTGTTTGTTATAAATTTAAAGCATTTAAGTCGGTGATACAAATATTCTTATCGCTTATAAATAATTTAATTATTTAAAATAAGTTATATATCAGAAAAACAGTAAGTAAATTGAATAGAAAAATTAAAAAAAATTTAATTCTAAAATATTCTCATCGGAATTTTTTTATAGTTATTATTTATTATTTATCAATATAATGACAAAGATTTTTATTTAAAATAAATAATTTAATTATTAAATTAATAGTCAAGTACAAGCATAAAAAAAAATCAATAGTTAAAAATAAATAAATTTTAATCTATACTAATATGTATAAAGAAATATTTTTTTTAACAATTACCTTTAATTCATATTTGATAAATTAATATATTCATTAGTAATGTTGAGATATTTTTTACTTTTATTTAGTTAAAAATATTTAAAAATTATTAATATTTATTGAATCAACTGATATGTAATTTTTAAATTTTAAGATTTTGAATTCAAATCATGATAATTTAATTAATTTTTAATATTATTTTTTATTATTTAAAAATTTAAAAATAAGATAATCTAAAAATTATTTACATTAAAATGAGATATTTCCTATATAACAGGTATGGATTTATTAACTACTTTTAACCGTTCAAATTCTTGATTCTTAATTATCTATATTAATATATAAATTGATTTAATAACTATCTTTATTTTCACATTTTGTTAATCAATATATTTTTTAATTTTAAAAATTAGAAAAAAAATGAATTTCTTTTATCAAATTCAAAACTTTGAAACTAATAAAGGTCACGGCGAGACGAGCCGTTTCTAATTAACGATAGGTGTCAAGTGGAAGTGCAGTGATGTATGCAGCTGAGGCATCCTAACAGACCGGTAGACTTGAACCTTGTTCCTACATGATCCGATCAATTGGATCAGGCACTCGCCATCTATTTTCATTGTTCAACTCTTTGACAACATGAAAAAACCAAAAACTCTGCCCCTTCTCTCTATCTATCCAAGGGATGGAAGGGCAGGTACATTGGGAACGTAGATAATTGTAACTATATACATATAAAATGACAGCAATAGAATGCCAATCTTCAGGCTTTATTTGTAAAGTCTCTATTCACAACATCAATTATACTAAATACTTTTATTACTTAATTTTATTTTATCTTTAATAAAAATATAAAATACTTCGACTTCATTAATTATTATTTAACTAGAGAAATCGATATACTTTATCTCTAACCATTATATAGATAATTACATTTAATCACATTATATATATATATATAGATTATCTTTTATTCATAAATAATTACTGCATAACAAATAGATAAGAATGTAAAAAAAAAAAAATGGAGACGAAAATTTTTGAAATTTAAAAATAAAATATAAACACTATCTCACTAGTTATGACGTAATGTCAAACGTGCTTGCGGGCCATGCCGCGTTGCAAGATACATTAACAAAATTCAAATTGGAAACAGAAAAAAAAATGAATAAATAAATAAATTTGTTGGCCAAAAAACGTGGATGTGAAATTAGCGGTGGTAGGTTCTAGAAAGTCCTGGAGGCTTACGGCAAGGTAAAATGTGGTGTTCGCAGAGAATCTAGATCTCTGATACAATACAATAACAATAATTCCTCTCTTTGTTATTATATAAAGACTTCTCTGAGGTTAGTTTCTTGTGCAGCGGAACCATACTCTCTTATATTCTAATCTTCTGCGTTGCTTCGTCTTTCTCTCTCCTTGTAACCTCTCTCCTTTCTGGGATTGTTGTGTTTGTTACGACCCCCCCGTGGTTTATGAATTGATTCTGATCTTAGGAGAGATTTTTCTTAAGGTACCGCTTGAATTCGGGGTGCCTATGTTGTGTTGGATCTGCAAATGTTTGAAAGTTTGAATTTTGGGGTTGGGTTCTCAATTGGGTCGTACCACATTTTGGAAAAAAAAAAACTAATTTTTTTGGGAGAGGGAACAGGAGGTCAGATTGTGAAAATTTTTAGGCGTGTTTTGGGAAAAGGGTCGTATGTAGATGTTGGATTGTTGTTTTGTTGTTTTATTTTTATGAAATGTTTTTTATTCAGTTTCTCTTTGTTGGGATATGATTCTCTGTTTGACAACGATTCATTTGTTTTGGAGTGTGGTTTAATATGGTTATGATAAAGTTGAAAATATTGAGGATATGGAGGGTGTGTTTCTGTGTATGAGAAAGTGGGGTTGGAGCAGTGAAAGGAATTGACATGTCTTGATGTGCTTGTTGTTTTTGTTACATGTTTAGTCCATAAGGGTGTTTCTCTTTTGTGGTGTTTTTGCTAAGATTCTCATCGAGCTTCACTGTTTTAGGTTCTTTGATCGGCTCAATTGGAGTAGTTACAACACTCCTTTTTTAAGTGTACGTACGAGGCTAATTAATTTTGCGTTGGACTGCAGAAGATGGCTGAGGTACGTAAATGTAACTAATGATGTTTGCTAAATGTCTCTTTTGTTCATAATTTTCTATGTCCTATGTAACGTCCTAGTGCTTTGCAATTGTTTTGACAATTATAATTACATTGGATATGTGATTACAGGAGGAACACAGGGTTACCCTAAATGTTTATGACTTAAGCCAAGGACTTGCACGACAGCTTTCAATGTCGTTTTTGGGGAAAGCAATTGAAGGCATATGGTGAGTGCTTCTCTTTGGTTTTAATCCAGATACAGAGAAAAATGTTCTTTGTATGATGCTATAGTTAGTTGTATTCCAAAAGAAAATGGGTTTGTTTCGGAGGGTTTGTTTTACATGTGTTGTTGGGGTGTTGATGCTATGATCTGTGGATATGTAGTGTTTAATTAAGTATTCGACTAGTATAGAAACGGATGAATCAGAAAACAATATAACACCTAGGTTTGCCACTTTTTTCCTCTTTGTATTTTTGGTTGTACATGCCAATATCCGACTCAAACATTACATTACCAAAAACTTAGGTTTGCCACTTTTTTCCTCTTTGCATTTTTGGATGTACATGCCAATATCTTATATCTTTATGGTGCCATTCATTTGTTGGAATGTTGAGAGTTTACAATTTTGTATATTCTGGTTGTATCTTAGGCACACAGGAGTTGTGGTTTATGGTAACGAGTATTACTTTGGTGGGGGCATACAGCACTCTCCTGCTGGATCATCACCATATGGAACTCCACTTAGAGTGGTAGACTTAGGTGTCACACATGTGCCCAAGGATGTCTTTGAAATGTATTTGCAGGAAATCAGTCCGCGTTATCTGCCTGAAACATATAGTCTTCTTACTCACAATTGCAACAACTTCAGCAATGAGGTTGCTCAATTTTTGGTTGGTGCATCCATTCCTACATATATTCTCCAGCTCCCTAATGAGGTCATGAGCAGCCCAATGGGAGCTCTTATATGTGAGTTATCACCTTTTACCCTTCAAATAAGTTGTTCTGGATTGTTCACTTGCAAATATGGTTATTATTTTCAACTATAGTATAATGTTGAACAAAGTGGAAGTATGTTATATACAATTTTAGTGAAATGGAATTATTTGGGACTGCCCGAGTTTTAGTAACCTTTCAATTTAACTTTGTATATCCATATCGCTTATCTGCATGTCTAATCATTTTCATTTTCTTCTACATTTAACAAATGTAAATTTTAAAGCACAATGTAGAGAAATATTTGGTTGCAACCTTTTGCAAAAGATGCCTATTTAAGAGGAGTTGTTCTCTATTTGTGTTTATGTGCTTATTTTTCTTTATCTTATATATCTTACTATCGTTTTACAGTGCCTATGATTCAAAATTTGGAGACAACATTGAAATCTGGTGGAGTTCCTCAAGTACCACAATTTAGGCCTTCAGCTAATGTGAATACTTCTGCCAACACCCAAAAGAGCTCAAGTGGTACCAATTCATCCACTGAGAATGGTTTGAAGGGAGAGGTGGATAAGGAAGTGAAGGGCGAAGATGATAACACTAAGACAGCATCACCTTCTGGGGAACCACAGAAGCCATCACCAAATGGGGTTAATGCAGATCCTCTGGGAGATGCTCGCAACAAGGTTCAAGATGAGATAATCAAAGAGTTTGCTGCAATCATGGCAACTGGAACAATGCGAGCTAGTGAGGCTGCAGCTCTAGCAACCAAAAGAGTCATGCAAAGATATGGTCAAACCGCTGTCTCACAAAACTAGCAACTTTTAGTTTATCATTGACAATTTGTGGGTCTAAAGCCCCTATTATACCATCGCTGCAATGCAACAACAATAGCAGTGTTTTCATATTATTGATTATTGTTTTATCTTGGTAGAACTTGATTAACTTATATCATTTATTCTATCAAAAGATTCTGTTTTTGGTTTCAAGTTAGTGTATGGAAATTATTTTTAGTGATATCAAATGAAATGCTGATTAGGCGAAGCGTTACGATATTTTAGTATACAATTCTTGGATTATAATCAAAGTTAAGTGATCTTTTTAAGAAAACACTTTCTCTGTGGCATAATAGAAGTATATTAAATACGTGGCTAAAATCTTGGCAAATCAGCATAAATGACTTCCTTTTCGAAGCTTTCTGTAGAGTGCAACGTTTTGTCTTTAAATTTTGTTTCTTAAAGGTAACGGGTATCTGTATCCTAAATTTTGTTTCTTAAAGGTAACGGGTATCTGTATCCTATCGATCAAAACAATTTCAATCTCAAGACTTTAAATGGCTAAGAATCAAGTCTTTAAAAGGCGAAGAGATTATAAATTCTCAATAAATTTTAATAATTCATAAATTTTGTCATGTAAAGAAATCTATAAACAAGCTTTGAGTGGTAAAACGCTCATATCCTAACGTTGACTAACTGACTTTTTCTTTTATGCTTTCATTTTTTGAATAACTGATCTTTCTATTTGAGCAGTAAAACGTTCCCAAAATTTTGCCTTGTGTTGAATGATAATAAGAAAAATGGTGTTTTGTTGAATAACATATCTCTCAGTCTTTGATCTTGTGATTTTTCACAAGTCTGACAAACTTCAAGTTGTGTTGATCATTTGATTTTTCAGAGGTCATGAAATTCTGAGTCGATCTGATATGATATTCTTTTACTAGTTAGGAAGTTTAAGGAGTTAGTTTTGTATTTTTTTTTTCATAGGATGAGAGATGAAAATGGAGTTACATGTAGCGAAATTTGAGTTGAGTTGATCTTGTATATTTTTACATGTTAAGAAATTCTAAGTAGAATCAATCTTATGACTTCTTGTGGGTAAAAAAAGTTGAGTCGGACTGATCTTGTAATTTTTCACAGGTGAGGAAATTTGAGTAAAGTAAATTTTGTATTTTAGGTCAGAAAACTCCGAATCAATTTAATTGTGTATTTTTTCATAGGTCAAAAAATTATGAGTTGACCTAATTTTGAATTTTTTTTACCTATAATTGGAAATATTATTTTTACAAGTGATAAATTTCAAGCCAAGTTGATCTTGTATTTTTTCACAAATTGAAAAATTCAAGTCAAGTTGATCATGTGATTTTTCACTAAATTCCGAATCGAAACATTATTATACGCTTTTACTGTGTTATCAATTTTTTGCTTTATCTATTAGTTTAAATTTTCTTAATTTTATTTTATCTTTTTGTTTTGTGTTATTAATTTGTTACTTTATCGGTTAGTTTGGTTATCTTTTAATTGAGTTTAATTTAATTTTTTTTCTCTGTTATCAATTTTTATCTTATCTTTTAGTTTTAATTTCCTTTAATTTGTTTATGCTATGTGTTATTAATTTTTGTGTTATCTATTAGTTTGAATTTCCTCCAATTTTATTTTATCTTTCTGTTATGCGTTATCAATTTGTTATTTTTGGTGGTGGTTGATATATGATAATTTTTTTCAAATTTTAGGAACCATAATTTTTTAGAATGATAAAAATATGTTAGATTCTTTATAAATGTTTCTAAAAATATTTATAAATATTACTTAATAATCAATGTTTTTACTATTTAAAGAATAAAAGTAACATGACATTTTAGGGTATAAAAATTTTATCTAAAAGTTATTTTTTAAAAAGTAACTAATATCTTAATTTGTGTAATGTATATTATATAAAATTAAAATTATATATAAATAAATACTTTTTGGTCTCGTTTTTTTTTTACAATCTTGCATTTTTATCTATTTATTATGTTCTTTTCGAGGAACTTATATATACATAAAGTTTGTTCAAATGCAAGCAATAAGGTAATATTTACTTAAATTTTGTTTATTTAATAAAAATTATTTTATTTTTTTATAATTGGTTTTAATTAATTTAAATTGTCTAATCATTCATTTTATATAGACATGAAAAATTAGCATTTGCTAGAATATGGAGAAGTTCATTCCAATGATGAGATTAAATGTCTACATATTTGTTTTTTTTTAATTTATATTATATAATTTAATTTATAATTGTAATTTAACTAATTTTTATATAATTTTCTTTCACAGGTTTTAGAGAATATTTTTAACATATGATCACACGATGTTGGAAGTTTAATTACAACTTTATTATGTTCAATTTTTTTTTAAAGTTTATTTACAAGAATTGAATGTTTTATAATATTTATTTATAAGAATTGTTATGTTAGATCCTTGTAATGTTAAAGACTTGACAAATTAAAATTGTGTTTGTTTGTATAAAATATTATCTCTTTATTGATTTAATTATTTTATGCATAAGTAAAGTCCGGGTCATAGGAGTGTATATGGGTACATAGGTATTCAACTAGTATAGAAATGACAATTAAAGTTGTTACCTTGTGGGTATGAGACTAGGTACAAGTATTATTTTTAAACTCGGGTATAAGACGAATACTATAAGATTTTATCCAAATCTTATCTATTGTCATTTCTAACTTTAATTTTATAAAACAAACTCAACATGTATATTTAAAGTTTGGCTTGACCTATTCTCATTTCTAATCACCATCTCTATTTGCTATAAACAATGAATTTTCATCATAATCATTTTCCAATCTCATAATATTGTATTGAGTTCACTTCCTTAAAGAATAATAAATACAAGAGTGAAGAATAGAGTTTAAAATTAAAATTTTAGAATTAAAAAATTAAAGTGTAGATAAAATTTAAAGTATAATTAACATAGGGTGAAAATATATAATTTATGGAGGTATATTTAATATTAAAAATATAAATAAAAAAGAGAGAGAAAGTAAATAAATAATCTGAAAATATATTTACTTAATAAATACGAGGGGTGTAAATAGTAAAAGTAAGGTAAATAAAATTTGACAAAACGGAGCGAATGTGAGTTTAGCAGAAAAGAGAGGATAAAAAAATATTAAAAAAAGAGCCAAAAATGGAGATGGGCCACAACATTCGGATCCAATCCACCAAACTGCTCGCATGTTCCGTTGGCGCATGGATTCAATTTCAACACGGTTTGACTTCAACCCAAAACCAAAAATAAAATAAAATAAAAAAAATAAGCATCACAAGTTCGCTTCACACAGAACATAGAAAGTCCATTTCTACGAATCTTGGGTGTTTCTTCTTTCGATTAATCACCACGGATTCTCATACAGGTATAATGAGATTATTTAGCAAGATATATATATAGTAGAATCAAT